GTGCGTTTGAAAAGTGAAAAGACACACCCCGGGGGACAATTAGCGCCAACTTCCTGATCTGTCTGAGACCTTAGAGCGGTTAAATGCCTTTACAATGCAAATGTCCGACGGGCCGGCGGCGGGAAAACCAAGGCAGTGACGTCATGTTCCCGCGCGCGCGCTGCCGCGGTTCTCAAACCGGTCGTCTCCTCTGCTACCCGGGGTTTCCCCGTTTACTCAGCAACCTAGGGATTTGTTCATCCACTAATGTCAGGGTCCCAAACACATTGCCTCCGTCTTCTTTACCACCGTTTCTACCTCCCACTTTCGGGAGAGTCTACCTTTTAAAAATACATCACATAATTTCTAAGAATTTCGAAGAGGACAGTTATAATGACACAGGTATAAATATTCCTCCAAGACGGAGTGTGTATTTTTGGAAAGATGTAAAGAAATCTAACTGGGGGTGATAAGTCAAATGGTAATCAAAGGAAGCTTTTAAAATGGAAATGCTAAACTAAGTCTTTTAGGCTGAGGAGCCTTTACCTATGCCAACGACGGATGCTAGGATCTGCTTACTACCTGGCTGTTCGCCATAATGGACTCAGCTAATCAAAATACACTACAATCTGGTCTCCCTCATCCTAGTGAAAAAAAGAGCCACGTTTGTATCTTTCAAGATTGGAAAAAAATTAAGTAAAAGGTGAGGTCTTGAAATTGTTAAGTAGTTCTCCTTAGGGTCCAAGAGCCAACTATTGGGCCAGGGCGCTGTGCATCCACTTTGGTGCTGGGCGTCACAGTTTTTTCGCACCGGGGAAGAGTACTATGGTTTTAGAAACGTGAGTTTCAGAAATTCCAAGTGTAGGACACAGAACACAAACACGTAACAAAAGGCGCCTGGTTACAGGGGCCATTTCTGTGATTTACTGTCTTGTAGGTTTAAAGAAGCCCTTCTGTCCATTAAAAGGTTACAGAAACTTGCCTGATCTCCGGCTGTGCAACAGGAATGGCGGGAGTGGGGTGGGGGGGTCGGGGGAGGAGGTGGTGGCAGCGGCAATATCTCCTTTCCCAAGAACCAAATAAATACACAGAACTAAAAAGCTGTAGTACCATTGAGGCCAATGCTTGCACTTTTATGACAACATAATGCTCAAAGCTTTGAACTCAGATTATGAAAATCGGATACGGTGGAGAACAAAAGTAAAAAAATATCAAACTGCACCGTTGTTGAAAAGCTCCAATATACCCCAATCAGAACCTGTAACGTCATATCTAAACATTTTCCTCACCCAATCGCTGCACACGACTTCCTATAAATAGCAGCGGTGATTCCAGGAGACATATTTGTTCTACAATCTGCTGCCTATTTTCTTGCTTTATTAGTCATGGCTCGTACGAAGCAGACGGCGCGCAAGTCCACGGGCGGGAAGGCGCCCCGCAAGCAGCTGGCCACCAAGGCCGCCCGCAAGAGCGCGCCGGCCACGGGCGGCGTGAAGAAGCCGCACCGCTACCGGCCCGGCACCGTGGCCCTGCGCGAGATCCGCCGCTACCAGAAGTCCACGGAGCTGCTGATCCGCAAGCTGCCCTTCCAGCGCCTGGTGCGCGAGATCGCGCAGGACTTCAAGACCGACCTGCGCTTCCAGAGCTCGGCCGTCATGGCGCTGCAGGAGGCGTGCGAGGCCTACCTGGTGGGGCTGTTCGAGGACACCAACCTGTGCGCCATCCACGCCAAGCGCGTCACCATCATGCCCAAGGACATCCAGCTCGCGCGCCGCATCCGCGGGGAGCGGGCCTGATTCTCACGTCTTCCTTTCCCAAAGGCTCTTTTCAGAGCCACCCACCTTTTGCAGGAAAGGGCTGAAACGCTCCCTACCCGCAGTGGATTAGTATAAGCATTCATGTGCTTGGTAGTTCGGGCGTAAACTAGCACATAGGTACACATTACCCCGAGTTTGCACCGTGGAAACTACCTGCCCTTCCCCATGTTAGCTTCAGTGCTATTCTTCCCTAAAGCCCTAATTAAGATCCAAAGTTTGAGGGACGTGAAAGACTTGGCATTTCAAGGGTTAATACGGCCCAAATCTCAAAAGCAGGCTTGTCATTTACTAGGAACGTCCATTTCTACCTGTGATCTTGTCAAAGTTTACTGTCAAGTGACCTTTTTGCCTTTTCATGTTGTCTTTCCTGCTTGAAATATCTTTTGGAACCTTGAGTTTCCTCAGGGTCCCGTAGAGTAACTGCAGATAAAGAACAATCAATAATACTCTTTCAAGCTGGGCTCTGGCTCCCCCCGCCCTCGGGTTTGGAGGAGGGACCAAGGGAGGGGCGGTGACGTCACATGTCCCGCCAGCGCGTTGTCCAATCACTACCTCGGCTGAGGGAGGGGTGGATGGGGGGGGGAGGGGTTGGCGGATTATATAAGAACCCGCTCTTTCCCTCCTCGCCAGTTGCTTCTGCTTCTCTACCTGCAAAGCCATGTCTGGTCGCGGCAAAGGCGGGAAGGGCCTGGGCAAGGGCGGCGCCAAGCGCCACCGCAAGGTGCTGCGCGACAACATCCAGGGCATCACCAAGCCCGCCATCCGGCGCCTGGCGCGGCGCGGCGGCGTCAAGCGCATCTCCGGGCTCATCTACGAGGAGACGCGCGGGGTGCTCAAGGTCTTCCTGGAGAACGTGATCCGCGACGCCGTCACCTACACGGAGCACGCCAAGCGCAAGACGGTCACGGCCATGGACGTGGTCTACGCGCTCAAGCGCCAGGGCCGCACCCTCTACGGCTTCGGCGGCTGAGCCCGTCCCCGCCCCGGCTCCCCCCAAAGGCCCTTTTCAGGGCCGCCCACTCCCTCTCGGAAGAGCTGCTCGCGTTGTGCTCATGTTCCTGTGGCCACAGTTTCTCGTGTTGGATGCCGACGGGGCCTTAACCTTTAGCTGGAGCTTCAGGCTCAATGGGGGCGCCTCACCCAGGCTGCGTAGGGACCCGAGTGGCGGCGCCCTCAGTTCTCGGGAGCAGGTCTGATTGGGGGAGGGAGAAAAAGGGAAGGGGAACTCGGGTTGGGTAAAATAGGATTTCCCAGTTGGAGGCTGGCTCCTAGCCCGGGCCTATGTCGGGAAGGATGCGCTCACCCCGCCCCCCCGCTCCCGCCTCCTCCCCGAACCCGGTGGTGCTGGGTTTCAATGGCGCTGGGCCTTGTCCTTTCCGTTCACTTGCAGGCGGGCCCTCCCCAAGCCCCGGGCGGAGCAGAGTGAATCACCGTCCACTAGACCAGGAGGCGCGGCTCTAACTCGGGGTCTCACAGCCCGAGGCCTCACCTGGCGTTTGGGAAGGAGGGGCTCCCCCTGGGCACAGACTCTCTGCCCTGCGGCCCCTGCTCTCCCCTCCCTCCGCCTTTCAGGGCCACCCTCCTCCAAAATGGCTGCTACAAAGGTCATCCTACACCCGTTTGTGTGCCGAGTGTCGGTGCTGTGGTTGAAATGAACAAGATTAAGGCAAATTTAAGTCTGACATCTGTGTAGCCTTGTAACTCAAGTCTAGCTAGTATTGCCTCCATTCTGAATCCCATTCACTGCATTCAGGTAGGGGAGAGGTGATAGACCATTAAAAGAAAAAAAATGATGGCGCCCTGGCTGGTTTAGCTCAATGGATAGAGCGTCGGCCTGGGGACTGAAGGGTCTAGGGTTCCATTCCGGGTCAAGGCACATGCCCCGGTCGCGGGTTCGATCCCCAGTAGGGGGCGTGCTGGAGGCAGCCGATCTGATTCTCTCTCATCATTGATTTTTCTCTCTCTCCTCCCTCTCTGAAAATCAATAAAAATATACTTATTTAAGAATGATGGTAAGGAACATTTTCAAAGACGCAGAGTATTTTTTAAATGAATCTTTATTGTTGAAAGTATTACATATGTCCCCCTTTCCCCCATTGACCTCCAGCCCGCCCCACCCCCACCCCCAGGCCTTCGCCACCCTGCTGTCTGCGTCCATGAGTTATGCAAATATGCATAAGGTTCTAAGATGCAGACTATTAAAAACCGATGTGCCAACCCATTGTGTTTAAACAGCCCATGATTTTTTTTTTAAGGGGCGGGGGAGTGTCCGGGGAAACAATGTTAGGAGTCACAGCAGGTTAAGAGCAGAGCCTGTGACCGAGCGAGCTCCGTCCCAAGTGCTGTGAGGCCGCAGGTCGCAGAAGAGGTCAGGGACCGGCGTTAGGACACTGACCCCTTCGTCTATTCTATGGAATTTACAAACTGCTTAGCCTGGGGCTCAAGGGGGGGCCGGCGTGAGAATGGACCTAAGCAAGGCCTAGTTACATTTAAACCTGAGCTCACCCAGTTTGTGGGGAAAATGGGGGTGACGACACTGAGCCCGAAGCCTGGGTGAAGGACAGGAGTCCAATGTCAACCCTTCGTGACGTCGCCAGGGCAAATCCAGTTGGAATAGCCCAGGTTTCGCTGGAAATGTCTAACTTTAATCGATCTGACTCCCTTGGGGGGGGGGGGGAGGTGTTGGCTGCACCCTCGCAGATCCACAACTTGCAGAAACATTTAATTCCTGAACTAAGAACTAGGCCAGCGACGCTTCTAGGGCTCCGCGTTTCTGCAAACTGCTGCTCCCCAACCAGGCTTGTCTTTGCTTGATCCTTTCACAGGGCACAAGGGGTGTCCCTGCCAGAAAAAGAAAACCCTAAGTGCCCTAGAACTTTAAATTCGTGCCCATCCCGGTTGCCTCTTCCTAAGGATGACCCCCGGAAGCCCCCAATCCCTCCCAAAGGGCCCAGGGCGCCGCGACTGTGGGGCCCTGCATAGAAACTGCCGGAGGAGCCCCCATGGAGCCTGCAGCTCCTGCCAAAGCTTGAAATCCCCGCCATCAAACACGAGAAAACGTGTCCACAGAAACACGAGCACGACAGCGCGCGCAGCTCTTCCGAGAGGGAGTGGGGGGCCCTGAAAAGGGCCTTTGGGGGGACACGAGGCGGGGGGACGGGCTCAGCCGCCGAAGCCGTAAAGGGTGCGGCCCTGGCGCTTGAGCGCGTAGACCACGTCCATGGCCGTGACCGTCTTGCGCTTGGCGTGCTCCGTGTAGGTGACGGCGTCGCGGATCACGTTCTCCAGGAAGACCTTGAGCACCCCGCGCGTCTCCTCGTAGATGAGCCCGGAGATGCGCTTGACGCCGCCGCGCCGCGCCAGGCGCCGGATGGCGGGCTTGGTGATGCCCTGGATGTTGTCGCGCAGCACCTTGCGGTGGCGCTTGGCGCCGCCCTTGCCCAGGCCCTTCCCGCCTTTGCCGCGACCGGACATGGTGACTGAGCAGAAGTCAGAGGCACTGGTTCCCGCGCTGGCGGCTGCAGCCTCTTAAATAGCCAGGGGGCGGACCTGGTTTGAAACAGCCCGGAAAAGGCGGGAAACAGCCGAGTCCCCGCCCCTGCTTCTAGACCCTCAAGGAAACACGGAGTAAGGAGATTTTCTGTTATTTAGAAAATAAGAAATCCCGAGCAGGAGGGTCTACCGTGTACGCAAACGAAATTAGCTCCTTTGTGGGTGTGTTCAGCCCATGGATATTTTTGGATCATTTCCAACATGGAATTAAAAGAAGCCCAAACCGCAAGGGACAAAGGAATTGGTAAATGGGTTGCCAAGCAACCCAGCCAGGCTTTGGGTCTGGAATTGGTGAGGGGGCTGCTCTCAGGCTGCTACTGGCCTGTCTGTCAAGCTGAGTTTTCTTGGCCGTCTCCACGCAAAGGACGCGCACTTGTCCATAACTGAGACAGGATCATGGAACAGGCTGTAAGCCGGGCCAAGCGGGACAGGGGAACCGAGAGGGCGAAACGGCAGTGTGCAGCCACCTGGTGAGCCCTGTCTCCCTAAACCAGGGACACTTAAGAGTAGTTTGCGCTTCTTCCCAGAGCGTAGAGAGCTTAAACCACTTACTCAGGGCGACAGAGAGCAGGCATCCCATCAGCGCCATTTGCCAACAAGCCCAAGGACAGGTGACGCTAAGAGCATAAATCTCATTCTGGTGCGTCAGCACAAAGCTGATGGGGATTCTTAGAGATCTCCCCTAAGAACTTCCCTAAATGCCCAGCCTTTAAAACCCTTCAAAACGAAGTGTGCGCTCTTTTCCCCAGGAGTAAGCCCCCTCCCCAACTCCCCCCATGAAGCATCTTCTAAGCTCTAAGGAACCCCACGAGGCCAGCGACCAGGGCAGCAGCAGTTCGTCCCAGACAAAGCCCCTGAACCTGCCCCAAGGCCCCTTCCCCCTGACTTTTAGGGAGCCAAGCAGTGCAGCCTGGATCACGTCCCCAGCCCTTCCTTGTTTCTGGGTCCCCAGCTTTAATACAGGTCCTTGAAAGTTCACCCCGACTCCCGTTGTGAACTGTTTCCTCCACCAAGTCTCCAACCCACACCCTACCGGCTGCCCTAGGCAGACCCTTCAGGGCCAGGCCCCCTTTCCGGTTACAGCTGATAGTTCTTTGACAATAAGTTCCTATCGCCCTGACTTCTGTGTAAAATATTTATAATACAGGCAGCACTAAAGCACAAGGCAGGGTTCCAGAGCATTTCCAGCCTAACCCGAGCATGGGCAGTGTGCTTCCCTTTAAACAAGTTGAGCTCATGCATTTAAACAATGGGGTTCGCAAAGGGAAAGAATGTGGATTCCAGGGGCTGACGCCCTGTTCTCTGGCCTAAGGCAGAGGGTGGAGGGGTGCTCGCCCTTCCCTGGGGCTGGATCATCCAATTCCAGGAAAGCTGTCATAAATGCTGAAGCTAGAAGTGTGGACAAAAGGGGCCACATGCTGACCTGACAGCTCAGGGGAGGCCTGCATGGCGGTCTTGCAAACTCAGAGACCTAAAGTCACCACAAAGGATGGTCTGAAATTAAACTTTAACTAAAGCAGTTATGGTGGGCAGTTACTTCCTAGGCCGGTATCTTCACTGACAAGGTCAACCTTTACCTTAACTGAGCCTATCTGTCTTTTTGCATCTATGAGAACATACCCTTGAAATGTCTGGGTAACTTGTAACTTCCCTTTTTCTGGAGCCCCTGGGGCACAGCCAAATGTGCTGGGCGCCAGGACAGATGCCACAAATTCCTTCATTATCATGTTAATTGTTCCTGCACCCACCTAAGCATGTGTCCATCATTTTACTTTTTATCCAATCCCAGGGATTTCCCCTGCTTTGCTTTATTCCTCCTCCTTAATCTACCACCAATGAATTTCATGTAACCCACCTGCATCCCTCCTTTGATTGCAAATGTGTAAATACAAATGTAACCTTATCTAAATTCGTTGAGGTTCTGCTTCCTGGCATATGTTGACAGTTTGGCTCAAATAATCTCACAAATTTTTTTTACAGGTTTCAATGGTTTTTTTTACGTTAACAGAAGGAATTGTACGCAAGTGACAGTGATAAAGATGCAATCATTCCTAGAGGTTTGCAATATTTTCAAAATTTTGCTGAACTACTACATGAGAGCATTAAGATATACATGAGGCCCTTAGAATACAATGTTCAAAATAAGAGACGGCATTTTATTGTTTTTAAAAACAAAATTCAACTGAGTCCATTTGAATAACTAATTGGCTTTATTAACCAATTCCTGAACCGGGCAGCAACAGACTTGTAACTAACTAGAAGGGTGCTCCTAGGAGTTGTACAAAATAAATGAGTTTTCTAGGAACAGGGACAGAGCAAGTAACCATCACCAAAGGTGAAGAAAGGGTTTCTCTTTGGGGAAAGAGAATAAGAGCATTTTCATCCCGCAGGCTGCCTCTTCTTTCTCATGTGATGGAGAGGGCCCATGCGACCCATGACCTTACTAGAGCTTTACCGGAAAATTCCAAACTGGTGGTTTAGTGACATTCCTGGGAGAGGTCGGAACTGCAATTAGATCGGGTATTAAATCTAGGTTTGGGCCTGTGGTTTTTGTCTTGGTCTAACCCTTCGAACCTACCCAAGTCCCTTTTTCTCTGACTCCGCAGGTAAGAGGGTTAACTTGAAACGCAGGCAGATAGGGCAGGGGTCCGGCGGAAAACGAAGGCAGGGGGAACATAGGGCAGGGGCAGACATGACAGTTAGAGCAGCGTAACCACAGGAACCAACCAAGCAGAAGCAAGAAAATGTTTCTGGACTCAGCGGGAGGCATGGGAAACCAAGGGAGGGCCTGCAGCTACAAGGGGTACGAACTCATAGAAACAGAGAGAGTTCAGGTCGTTGTTGGGCAAAAACAATTGAGGGAATCATGCAGGTGGCGACACAGGTAGAGAAGAGCAGCTTGTAGCACATACATACATACCCCTGACCACAAGGGTACAGCGGGCAGCCCACCACTGGGCCCCCCTCCTCTTCCGGGGAGTCGGAGCCTGCCTGTAATAACTTCCACACTTTGCTTAAATCTTCTGGTCCGAGGAGCTCATTCTACAGCGTCGAGACAGGACCCGGGAAAACACCTTGGCTCATGGTTGTTATCACAGGGAGCGGTCAGCAACCCGACTTGGCCCAGTTCTTTCTGGAGCCCAGGGAGCCCGGCTTGGTCTCTCCCTGTGCTTCTTCTACCTTAGGCCCTTCCTGGTTTCCTATTCTCCACGGTTTTATTTTCAAAAACCCCTGGACTTGTGTTCTCAAATACTTCCTACACCAAGTCAAGAACTCACACTCTAGGCGCAGGGCGGTAATTCCTGCCTGGAAATAAATTAACGGTTTGCGCACAGCTCTTGTAAGTGAAAATGTGGTGGCTCTGAAAAGAGCCTTTGGGTTTCGGCGCAAGTGGGCAGGACGGAGCTCACGCCCGCTCCCCGCGGATGCGGCGCGCCAGCTGGATGTCCTTGGGCATGATGGTGACGCGCTTGGCGTGGATGGCGCACAGGTTGGTGTCCTCGAACAGCCCCACCAGGTAGGCCTCGCACGCCTCCTGCAGCGCCATGACGGCCGAGCTCTGGAAGCGCAGGTCGGTCTTGAAGTCCTGCGCGATCTCGCGCACCAGGCGCTGGAAGGGCAGCTTGCGGATCAGCAGCTCCGTGGACTTCTGGTAGCGGCGGATCTCGCGCAGGGCCACGGTGCCGGGCCGGTAGCGGTGCGGCTTCTTCACGCCGCCCGTGGCCGGCGCGCTCTTGCGGGCGGCCTTGGTGGCCAGCTGCTTGCGGGGCGCCTTGCCGCCCGTGGACTTGCGCGCCGTCTGCTTGGTGCGAGCCATTCCTAACAGCCAGGAGCCGGGAACCACTGAACAAGCGTGAGCGCTTTCAACGATTATTTATAATGCGAGGCCCACGCTGATTGGATAAGGCATCTGTCCATCAAGTCCCACCAGAAGTGATTGGAAGCCGCGTCCACTTCCGCATCCCAGGAGCCTCCGGGGCGTTTGCATCAGAAATTAACATCTTCCTCCCACCTACCCTTTCAACAGCGGCCGTTTTCCAGTCTTTCTGGCCTCTACCCTTTTCTGCGTCTTTTCTCTACAATGTTCTTTGGTTTTTCTGCGCAGAACTTACTGTAAGTATTAAAAAATATACATTGTTTGCTAAATGAAGAATTTTAGTTTTCGCCCCCGAAAACGCTTCCGTCTGATCTTTTTGAAAAAGCGCGCGCTACATGGGATTGGCCAAGCAAATTTTGAGCCTCATTCAAGTTTAGGGGGGCTGATTTCCTGTCAGTTTCTTAATTTCTCTAAATAAATTTACGTTTCTGTGGGCTTTTTTGTTTACCTTGATTTTACATTTGGTGTTCTAGCTACAGTGACATTTACTACCCACTGACTAGCTTTCCCATACGTATCACAACTTCAGCTGAGACTGTAGCCACAAGTGTGGTTAAGGAAAAAGAAATCCTCAAACGTGTAAGTGGCACAAAAAAGACGACCGTGGGCCTTACAGTCACGCTGGGCCCCGTGTTGAGAAGCTCCGCCTGTGACCTAAGTCCACGGGGAGCAGTAGGGCTTCCGTACTCACCCCACTGGGGCCGTGGCGTAGGAGATGGAGTAAAGGATGATGTGTCCCATGAAGATGCAAAAACCAATGAAGGGCGGTTTCATTGCCCTGTTGCTTACTAAATGCACTTATATTTAAATGGCCCCTTTCACCAAGCATTGGTCCCATCTAGTCTCCATGGTTCTACCCTGAGGGCCCACAGTATTCATCCCCTAATTACCCGTGATGTCCAGTAGCTCCGTTACCGTTTTACTTAGTGGATGTTAAACTTGTTTTTATTGGGAGTAAATAGTGGCATTTCGGGGCGCGTTTGCCCACTGCCATCTACTGTTAGGCTGAGAAATTACAGCTAAGATCCCTTTCAAGCCTCCGCTCCGGTATGGAAAGTGCCAGCGCTTTCAGTGAGAAGGTGGGTGGCTCTGAAAAGAGCCTTTGGTTTAGTTGTTTGCGTTGTTGCCAAAGGAACGCAGGGTCCTTACTTGCCCTTGGCCTTGTGGTGGCTCTCGGTCTTCTTGGGCAGCAGCACGGCCTGGATGTTGGGCAGCACGCCGCCCTGCGCGATGGTCACCTTGCCCAGCAGCTTGTTGAGCTCCTCGTCGTTGCGGATGGCCAGCTGCAGGTGGCGCGGGATGATGCGCGTCTTCTTGTTGTCGCGGGCCGCGTTGCCCGCCAGCTCCAGGATCTCGGCCGTCAGGTACTCCAGCACGGCCGCCAGGTACACGGGCGCGCCCGCCCCGACGCGCTCGGCGTAGTTGCCCTTGCGGAGCAGCCGGTGCACGCGGCCCACGGGGAACTGCAGCCCGGCCCGCGAGGACCGCGTCTTGGCCTTGGCGCGCGCCTTGCCGCCCTGCTTGCCGCGTCCAGACATGATTTCTTGAGAAGAAGCGAGCGCCTTCTAAGCACCAGATCAGAGAGATGGAACTAAAGGGGCAGCAAGACAAGTATTTATACTAACGGGAGGTAGCAGGCATGCACTTCCCCAGAACCAATGGGAACGTAGAGCCTGCCTCCCTCATTTGCATAGGAGACGAGGTTTTTTTTTTTTTTTCTTTGCTCCATTGTAATCTGGTCTGATGAACCTTTATTTTCTTTCTTTACTAATCATTGAATCAATTAGTTTTTTTCCCCCCGAAATACTATCCTACACGCAGTCAGGCAGGAATTATTGTCCTCAGACAATTGGTTATTCGTCTTTTGGAAAGAAATACAAGCAGGGCAATTTCTAAATAGATAACATTTAAGAGGTACATCTAAAAAAGAAAGAAAAATAGGTACTTGATGCCACGCGTTGCTTTAGCTCTTTTAGAGCTCAGAAAATAGGGAAAAGGGGAAAATAATCCTTTCGGTGGCCCCAGGCTTCTTAAAGAATCTGAACAATGAAACCTGCAGAGGAGGTGGCCTAAGACAGCCGCTGGGTCTCCATGTCCCTCATATCTTGGGTAGGAGGCGTTCAGGTTGGCCTGGAAGTGTAGAGCGTCAGCACTGCCTTCATTTTAGGAACGTGAAACGTGGACGCCCACATTGGTTATTTACTAATAATTAATGGCACCAAGGACTGTGAACTCCTGGGTGAAAAGCCTTTGCCATTATTTCCCAGAGCCGCTCCCATCCCTCCACCCCTTCTTTTCCCACTTGGGCACCACACTCAGGATGCTGGTTATTTCAGAAAGCCGCCCTCCAGCCTGCATGGCCTGCAACCTGTGGTGGTTCTGTGCCTGTAATCCCTTTGTTCCCACGTCACCTTTGTCCTTCTACCCAATATAAGCAGCTGGCTTACGGTGGGGGCCGAGCAGACTTTGTGGATGGCATGCTGCTCGCCCATACTGCCGGCATTACTGTACTTAGCGCTCACGTAAGATCCAACCCTGTCTCTTCGTAAATGGCTCCCGTAGTGACAGGCAGCCCAGGCCCCGTGGTTGTGCGGTTTCACTATCTCGGTCCCGGTTGTGCACAGTCTCTGGACCTCCTGTTACCTGTCTCTTTGTGGACCTTTCTTCTCTTTTCAGGATTCTCAGTCATCTTCCCTCCAAACTAAAAGTCTCCCGGTCCTCTTCATCTGGCTCCAGGCACCCAGAACCCCGCTGTTGGGTAGGGGTTTTTATGACTGAAAAGAGAGTTGGGGATCTCGTCCAGGTTATTTGCCTGTTTTCTTTGTTGACAGAGAGCAGCAGCTCTGGAGAAAATGTAGGTGTTTATTAGGGAAGTGCGTGTATAAACCCTTCGGTGAGGACAAGGGTCTCGAGGTCTTGTTAGTGCTTCCCCAACGGTTCTCTTGCTAAATGTTAAAATGTGCAACAGTATTTTGCAGACACAGCTGTAAGCAGATGCGCTCGGCTCCAACCCAACCAGGTACCTGTAGCTGATTGCAAAGAAGAAATCAACATGAAATTGACCACATGGTGTGTATAAGCCTTGTCTAGCCTCCCTTCTGCAGACAGCATTGGAGGTGAGCCCCTGTCCCCTTTACTTGCTGCGAGTAAATAGATGTAACGACAACCACCCCTCATTTGTGAGTAGATCACCCTAAGCAGGGAACCCTGTAGTTTGCTAACCATTCCAGGATTTCTCTTAAGCTGATGGGACTGACCCCTGTGTTCAAAGTTGGTGCCTGGTCAGAATCACCTGGGGAGATGAACAAATTTGTTTCTGTCTTGTCACTACTGCCCACTATAGATCTGGGGAGCTGCCATGGAGTCTAGGCATCTGAATTAAAAAATATATATATTTAATGATTTTTAGGAGAGAGGAAGGGAGGGGGAGAGAGAGAGAGAGAGAGAGAGAGAGAGAGAGAGAGAGATGAGAAATAGAGCCCGAACCCAGGCATGTGTCCTGAGCAGGAATGGAAGCAGCAACATTTTGGTGCCGAGGACGATGCTAACCAACCGAGCGACACAGGCCAGGGTGACTCCTTTTATTTCCTCGTTCACTTGTGAAGCATCAGCCAGGTATCCGAACAGATAACATTTATAGGTTTGCGTTTAGGAGGCCTGGTGTTTTTCTCTAAGGTTGTCAATTAAGAGTATCGTTTTAGGGAAAGTATTAAATATTTAGAAGAAATGAGAGGGGAGGGACGGGGGACAGATTGCAAAGTTGAAAGCAAGCAGGCAGGCAAAGTTGTATAGGATAAAATGGGGTGAAAATAACCCCTCCTGAGGTCACCTTAAATAGGATAAGAAGTAATCTCACCTGCCAGCGCTTCCCCCTCAAGGGAAGAGCACGAGGGTTTGTGATTCTTAAACTACAGCCTGAATTCACTAACAAGCTTATTTGGGGAGGGCCTTTTTATAATCTATACAGCAAAAATTATTGACTTTTAAGGCAAGTGTGTTTTTCAAAACTATATTTTGCATATGCCAAGAAAGAAAGAATTTCTCATACATTGTTCGGCTGTTATGTTGGGCTGTGGGGGGGAAAATTAATTTTCCTTTAAAAGGGGTTCCTTTTTGAGAAATTCAACTTTAAATTTTACAGTATTTCTTCATCGTGCTCATACACCAAAGGAAAATCCCCCCCCCCCCGCCCCCACCTCAGAAATAAGCAGTGAGCAGCGATTCTTCACCGGCTCTTCCTCCCCTCCCCCAGCCCGAGACGGGGACCACCCCTCGGACCCTCTTCCCCACCCAAGGGCTTTCCTGTCTGTTTGGATTGGATTTTGAGTCCCAGCGTCTCTGGAAAAAGGATTGCAAATAGCAGGCCGCACATCTTCTTCCCCTCCACGCCCTTCCCCCCCACCAGCGCTGTCAGCCAGGAGGTGGCGCCACACGTGGATGGAAGGGCGGGAAATTCAAATCCTTTGTCCCTTATCAGAGCGGGAACCCACCCTCCCCACCCTTCTAGGGGAATCGCTGAACCGCCCAAGGCCCAGGCGGTGGCAGCCCGGATTACTAGGACGTAAAAAAAAATTCACAGGCGTTTCAGACCGACTGTGGCCACCGGTAAACACTTCTAATGAGAAATCAGAGCCATCTCAGGTCACCTGTGTGCAAAGGGCTCGAGGCGGACCCCACAGAAACTAGTGCCCCAGGAGCAAGACGAGGTGAGTGCAGGCTCCGGGTAGGAGCGCCCCCCTACCTGCCCGTTTGGCTGCCCAGACCCACCCTCCTCCCACACGATCAGCCCAGATCAGAACTCCTCTGGGGGCCCTGCTCTCTGAAGTCCTTGATCGGCTTTCCTACCCAGCGGGGGAATTCCAAACCCATCGGAAACCTGCAGGGTACGGAAAGGGACCCTTTGCAGGTGCATCTCAGTGAACACCTAGAGCCCTAAGGGCACCTTGAAGGTGGGATAAAACATGAACTGGACAGCCCTGGGGCCCAGCACCACGTTCACTTAAAACCAAGCGACCCTGGAGATGGAACCTGGGCTGACTTTGCCACAAGGAAGTCAGGGCTCAAACTGAACCCACAGCATGAAAGTGACCTCGCTCAGAAACGGCAGTTACAGCTTTTCTCAGAGAAAGTGGGTGGCTCTGAAAAGAGCCTTTGGGTTTGACAGGGGCCGCAGCACCTCACTTGGAGCTGGTGTACTTGGTGACGGCCTTGGTGCCCTCGGACACGGCGTGCTTGGCCAGCTCGCCGGGCAGCAGCAGGCGCACGGCCGTCTGGATCTCCCGGGACGTGATGGTCGAGCGCTTGTTGTAATGCGCCAGGCGCGACGCCTCGCCCGCGATGCGCTCAAAGATGTCGTTGACGAACGAGTTCATGATGCCCATGGCCTTGGACGAGATGCCGGTGTCGGGGTGCACCTGCTTGAGCACCTTGTACACGTAGATGGAGTAGCTCTCTTTGCGGCTGCGCTTGCGCTTCTTGCCATCCTTCTTCTGAGCCTTGGTGATGGCTTTCTTGGAGCCCTTCTTCGGGGCGGGCGCCGATTTGGAAGGTTCCGGCATGGCGTTTGCAAAAGGCTGTAGAATTGCTGGTCGCAGTTTCCACAACAAAGATGAAGGGTGAAGAGCTGCGAGCTCATTCAGTATATATATGTTTCTCAATGTAAATGAGGAATTAAGAATCCTCACTTCTGATTGGTTAGTCACTACATGGCGCCGAGGGGCGTGGTCTATGCAAATAAGAAATACACAGTTCTCTTTTCTATTGGACAGAACATATTTTAACCAATCAGATGTCTTATCGCGCTATCCAAGCTGTAACTATAAAAGGGTTTCTTCAACCTAACATCCTTATATCGCTTTTTTGCAGCAGCTTTCTCTGCACGTTAGGAGTTTGCCAATATGTCCGGACGCGGTAAGCAGGGCGGCAAGGCGCGCGCCAAGGCCAAGACGCGGTCCTCGCGGGCCGGGCTGCAGTTCCCCGTGGGCCGCGTGCACCGGCTGCTCCGCAAGGGCAACTACGCCGAGCGCGTCGGGGCGGGCGCGCCCGTGTACCTGGCGGCCGTGCTGGAGTACCTGACGGCCGAGATCCTGGAGCTGGCGGGCAACGCGGCCCGCGACAACAAGAAGACGCGCATCATCCCGCGCCACCTGCAGCTGGCCATCCGCAACGACGAGGAGCTCAACAAGCTGCTGGGCAAGGTGACCATCGCGCAGGGCGGCGTGCTGCCCAACATCCAGGCCGTGCTGCTGCCCAAGAAGACCGAGAGCCACCACAAGGCCAAGGGCAAATAAGGAGCAAATCGCAACATCCAAACCAAAGGCTCTTTTCAGAGCCACCCACGCTTTCACTAAAGAGCTTGCTCGGAAATGTCCGTTTTTAACAGCGACTAATTCCTCAGCCTACCAGTAGATGGCAGTGTGTGAACATTAACTCCAATAAAAACAATTTAGCATCAGCAAAGGAAAATGGGTACCCGGACACTTGACAATCACAGGTAATTAAGGTGATGAGTGCTGCAAGCCCTGGGGGTTAAACCGGGAGAAAACAGGAGGGCAACAAGGCTTGGTGAAAGGTGACTATTTAAGTGCAAATATAGTTAGTGACCCATGGGGCAATAACTCTCTTGAGTTGTTTTGCATCTCAATAGGACACATTATCACCAATTTTCCCATCTACCGGGGCCCTAGTGGATTGTAAGTAACAGCAACACTGCTGGCCTCCGAGTCAGGTTCCTTAGGCGGAGCTGCTCATCACGGGGCGCAGCATGGCTTTAAGAAGGCTCAGTCATCTTTTTGTACCACGTACACGCTTGAGGGTTTCTTTAACCACACTTCCCACAACTCTCAGTTGAAATTGTGAAACGTATGAGAATGCTAGTTAGTGAAAAGTAAATGTTACTGTAGCTATAACACCAAATGCGAAATCGAGTTAAGTAGCATTTAGAAAAAGCCTAAGAAACATTTTAAAACCTCTACACTTAAAAAGAGAAATGAAGAAACGGACGGGAAATTGGCTTTCCTAAATTTGAATGAGATTCAAAAATCACTTGGCCAATCCCGTGTAGCGCGCGCTTTTTCAAAAAGATCAGACGATAGCCCGTTTCCGGAGCCAAAATTTAAAATTTTTATTCAGGAAACAAGACATATAATGGTAATATTTACATTAAGTTCTGCGGAGAAAAGCCAAAGAACATTGTAGAGAAAAGAGGTAAAGACGGTAGAAGCGAGAAAGATTAGGCAACAGCCGCAGATGAAAGGGTGGGTGGGAGAAAGAAGTTAATTTCCGGTCCAAACGCCCAGGAGGCCTGCGGTCCGGAAGTGGATGGGGCTTCCAATAACTTCCCTACGGGTCTTGATGGACAGATGCCTTATCCAATGAGAGCGGGCCTCGCCTTATATATACTGGTTGAGAGCCCGCGCTCTCATTCTCCTAGCAGTTTGCTACCTCTGGTGCTTTGCGATGGCTCGGACCAAGCAGACGGCGCGCAAGTCCACGGGCGGGAAGGCGCCCCGCAAGCAGCTGGCCACCAAGGCCGCCCGCAAGAGCGCGCCGGCCACGGGCGGCGTGAAGAAGCCGCACCGCTACCGGCCCGGCACCGTGGCCCTGCGCGAGATCCGCCGCTACCAGAAGTCCACGGAGCTGCTGATCCGCAAGCTGCCCTTCCAGCGCCTGGTGCGCGAGATCGCGCAGGACTTCAAGACCGACCTGCGCTTCCAGAGCTCGGCCGTCATGGCGCTGCAGGAGGCGTGCGAGGCCTACCTGGTGGGGCTGTTCGAGGACACCAACCTGTGCGCCATCCACGCCAAGCGCGTCACCATCATGCCCAAGGACATCCAGCTCGCGCGCCGCATCCGCGGGGAGCGGGCGTGAGCTCCGTCCTACCCACTTGCACCGGAACCCAAAGGCTCTTTTCAGAGCCACCCACAATTTCACGTAAAAAAGGCTGTAACTACCCAAACTAGAAATTACTGGGGAAACTAGAAATTGTAAGTAGGTAAGGACAAGGATACTAATGTTGAACTTCCTACTATTTACTGGCGATTTCTATATTAACGTGAAATCCCTTTAGGTTGCAGTGCATCAATTATAAATACTGAGTACCTGCATGTGTTCCGTATAATGCCTTACAGATCTCCCACCCCTCCGCATCATTATACTGTTTTCTCTTTCCATGGCTTGTGCATCTAAGTACTTTCCCTAATCCCTTCACCTTGCTCCATCCACCCCCACCCCAGGCCTCCCCTCCCACAGCTGTCAGACTGTTCCCTGTGTTCCTGCCTCTTCCTATCCTGTCAGTTTTGTTCCTTAGGTTCCGCATGTGAGATCATAAGGTAGTTGTCTTTCTTTGGATTTCTTATGACATTTAGGTACTGAAGTTTCACCGCATAGATAGAAGCTAATGGTAGCTTTTTATTGGATTTCAATTTTTCAAGAAATTCTCAAATAATTGAAGCTTGTTTTAATTGTCAGAAGCAGTATTGACTATCTCCTTGTGTCCTGTTCAGTGGAATTCAGTCAGACAACAGGGTTTATGAGTGTACTTTAGAGGCTCCTGAACACCGTTACTCCTGCCATCAGGGAAGGGTGTGCTCCGGAGAGAGCGCACTGGGTCCTCCATCCTAAGGGCTTTAAAGGCTGGGATTTTAGGGGAGATCCCAGGGACACATCTCGATAGAATACTCAGCAGCTTCCCAGGTGCGTCCATTCAGGGCTGTGGTCTCCACTGATGGAGTGGCAGGCACCAGAGCAGGGGGACATTATTCAACGCAGCTGGTTCTAAGGTCAGCCATGGCTGGTTTTGCTGCTTATCTGGGCCTGGAGCTGAAATAAAACAGGCCCAGATGTTATCTTCAGGGAGAAAAGTCGAGGGCAGGGGAGGGGAAGTCTCCCTGGGGCGAGGGCCCACCCTACCATTGATTGCTTCCACCCTGTTGACCTTCTGTACCTGGCCCATTGTCCTTGCCCAGCTCCTGTCTGTCTCCATGCCTACAGCAAAGATAAGGTCGAGGCCTAAATTCAGTTCCTGAGCCCTGGAGCTGCATGGCTCTCCCTGGCCACACCCTCATGAAACCTGACCAGCCAGCAGGACCCACGGCCCCAAACCCCTCACTCATGAGGACTTTCGTTCTGTAAAACCCTTGTGGGTACACTGTTGGGGAGTTGGGGTTTTATATAATTTAAATTATTTAACACCGACGGAGTGCCTGGTCCTTTCTCTGCACCTTGGTGTCCGCATAACTGGCTACTGTCAGCACCACCAGGTAGGCGAGCTCTTTGCTGAGTTTCAAAGGCAAAGATAAGCCTTTTACTAAAATGTTCTGTGCCTGGGGCAGTACTGCCCACTATGACCTGCCCGGCTAGGAACGCATTACAGCACTGCTTTCTCATCCACAAAAGGTAGCCACTGTAGAACTTGTCTCTCCTTCACCCAGGCCCCTTTTTAATAAACACAGAAGCATTGATGTGTTCCTTCTTGAAACTTTCCAAATATAAAACAAGATAATAGGGAATAGATAAAAATTTTCTGAGGCCTGAAGTTTATGCAACTTGGTGACTCTTTAAAACCTTCACTAGATTACAAAGACAAAACTAGATAGTGAACATCAATTTATAGTGGAAAAATAAGTCACCTGTGCATGAAAAGGGGGTTCCATGTTACATACCTCAGGGTGATCTTATGTTCTGGACATATTGGGTTAAATAAACCATCTTTTTAGAATGGTTTCACCTGTGTCTTTGCTCCTTATTTATGTGGCTATGAACAGCTAGCACTGCCGTGGAGATAAATTGGCTCAGGCACAGATTCTTTCGGTCACTGGGTATTTTCTATGTACACTTGATGGAATACTGGCCCTCAAGCAATCTAGAATATTAGATCGCTATTGCCAGCAGGAACAGAGAAAACAAAATAACTGGGAATAGAGGTAATAAAAATAGGAATAGGTATTACGAGAAAAGTACCAACTATTTGAATGGGAAAACATGAAAAGTTCTTGAATATGAAACATCTCCTCAGTTTAATTTATAAAAACAAAATCCCAAGACTATCAATAGGGTGTTGAAGGTTTCTGCGTGGGTGGGAAGGGGGAGCTTCCCAAAGTAAAAGCAAAATAAACAAAAAACAGAATTACCAGAGAATTCTGGAAAGGATAATGAGAGGAAATCAGCTATTCAGGTTATATTATAACATCTGTTTATTTGACATCCAATTACTTGCATATCTACTATGGTTCATATATTCTCAGCATTGCAGAGCTGTGAACAGTACTGAAACCAGTGTGATCTGGCCTTAGGAATGGCTGGAGAGATCAAAGGGACAAAAGAGAAAACCAAGAATTCGTTCACCCCTGCATGGAATTTACCTGTGACAAAGGTCCTATCTCAAGCGGGGGTGGACTGGGGAGGGCAGGAGAGGCAGGAAAGGCAGTTAGTAAATGGTTTTGAGGAAAATATCCATATGCATTCATATATCCTAAATATCCTAACATAAGTCCATCCATGCATTCACATATCAAAAATGATCCATATATTCGTACCCATACTTGTACACGAACATGCAGAGGGCTCACAATTATTTTAAATGTAAAATTAACAGAAAAATGGGGAAAAACATGAGACAACCGTCTTTCTTCGTGTGTATTATAGTCCTGAGTGAGTCTTTCTGTTCAAAGTGATTACACAGACGACGAAGATTAAGCTCTCTCTGCCCAGGAGGGAGGGCGGGGCGCATGAACTCGAGTCACCCCCCTCGCCCCCCCTAATGCGGGAATTACCTCCCAGGAGCTGGGGCAACAGATGCAGATAGAACTGCACGGCAGGCCCCGAGGCCCCTCTCCCTGCAAGTTGTGCAGAATTGAAACTGCCCGCTGGGCTGCATCCAGCAGAAACGCCCCGAGTGTAACACAACCCACGGATGACACTGTCGATGAGAACTAACGCCCTTACTGACATCACCCCTCAGACTCAGATCCAAGGCTCACCGACGCTTTTCCTCCTGCATGGAAAGACACTTGGGTCTCTCTCTCTCTCTCTCTCTCTCTCTCTCTCTCTCTCTCTCTCTCGGCGTTTAAAGAATCTTCAGGGGTTACATGTTTGTCTAACGGAGGGTGGGGAGCCTCCTGTCAGGACAACATGGCGACCAAAGGTTGTTTTTGATGCGCTCCGACCGGTCACACCCAAGTTCAAGGTTACAGGGTCCGAAGGACAGAAAGACCCCGCAGCTGCCGAGACCTGGGCGGCAGCCATTCCTCCAGGGCTCTTTCTTGTCGCCAGAAAAACGGGAATGAAAAGAATGAGCGAGAAGGCGCCCGCGCCTCCTCCTCCCAGGGCTGGAGGCCAAAAGACGCCCCAGGACATAGCAGCCTGACTTTCCAAAACATGCCAGAAGCATCGCCACACCCAGCGAGAAGGGCAAACTCAACCCAACAACAAAAAAGCCAAAACAAGTAAAAAAGAAAAAAAAAAGCAAACGTGCGACAGCAGCTGCCACTGTCCAATGGCATCCAGGACGAGGACGACGGGCGGCGGGCGCGCGCCAACCCGCGAGCGGGCGGGACTTTTGAAAGCTTCCCTGGCCTAATGGTGCCATCCCCGCGGCTCGGGAACGGGCTGGTATGACTGGGGATTGCGTCCCTGTCCACAGGCCCGTGGGGCCGGGGCTGCCGCGGGCGGTACCGCTCACCGGACCAGGAACTGTCCCCCCACAGCAGCCCGTTCCCAACGCGGATGGTCTGCCTGTTACCTCAGCGACCGTCCCCCGAGGCCCACACTAACCCCTCCTCCCGGGGTCTGCAGGCCCCTCCGAGGTCGCTCCAGCGACACTGCGTTAGGATAAAAGGTTAACGGGGTGGGGAGAATGGGGTGGACGGCGGGTGAGTGCTCAGCTCTCTTTTGAGACCAGTGGTGGCTCTGAAAAGAGCCGTTTTGGGTTGTAGAAGCGGGTGTGAGCCTACTTCTTCTTGGGGGCCGCCTTCTTGGGCTTGGCGGCCTTGGGCTTGGCGGCCTTGGACTTCACGGCCTTGGCCGGGCTCTTCGCCGGCTTCTTGGGCTTGGCGGCCTTCGCCTTCTTGGGGCTCTTGGCGGCTTTCTTGGCTCCCGCCCCCGCCGCCGGCTTCTTGGGCTTCTTCGGGGTCTTCTTGGCGCTCTTCTTGGGGGTGGCGGACCCCGCGGGCTTCTTGGGCTTCTTGGCCGCGCCCGCGGGCTTCCTGGGCTTGGCCGCGCCCGCCTTCTTGGCCTTGGGCTTGGCCTCCCCGGAGGCCGCCTTCTTGTTGAGCTTGAAGGAGCCCGAGGCGCCGGTGCCCTTGGTCTGCACCAGGGTGCCCTTGCTCACCAGGCTCCTGAGGCCCAGCTTGATGCGGCTGTTGTTCTTGTCCACGTCGTAGCCCGCGGCCGCCAGCGCCTTCTTGAGCGCGGCCAGCGACACGCCGCTGCGCTCCTTGGAGGCGGCGACCGCCTTGGTGATGAGCTCGGACACGGGCGGCCCGGACGCCTTGCGGCGCACCCCGGAGGGCTTCTTGGCCGCCTTCTTCTTCACGGGGGTCTTCTCCGCGGGGGGCGCAGCGGCGGGCGCGGCGGGAGCGGTCTCCGACATGGCGATGCTGATGGCGAAGGTCTAGAAAGAGTTGGGGAAAGTGGCGAAGCGCCGATGGCGCAGCGCCGGCCGCCGCCGAATATATAGAGCGCAGGCGCGCGCTGATTGGTGCTCCCGCCGCCCTCGGCTGGCAGGCTCCGCGCCGCCGCCGCGCGCCCAAGTTGTGTTTGTTACACTTCACAAAAGGGGGAAAATATTAAAATCCCCCGCACCCAACGCCCCGGGGCCGGTCGGAAAAGAATCCGAGAAGCCTCAGGCTTCCTGCCCGGCACTTGTTTTTCCTGTAACTGCAAAGACGCCGCGTCCAGGGGCCCCCAACTCCCCCAACTCCCAGGCAAGTCCAGGACCATCGGAGACCACTTTCTGTTTTTCTTCTAAATTACCTGTTCGCTCCTTGGCCCTGGAAAGTTCTTTTTCTCAGGGGGGGTAGGGCACATGTTCACCTTCCTATGGGGACCAACACGAGGTCGTTGTCACTTAAAATTCCACGGTAATTCGGTTTCTTCGCAAGGGAAGTAACACAGGTCCTGGGTGAATTCTGCGTGCAGACGCACAGGGACTGGGGACTGGGACCCGGTTCTGGACCAGCCCAGAGCAGTTAGGGAGGGATCCGAGGGGGGTCCCTAAGTTCCCGGGGGGGCCCTGGGTGGTGGCGGGTTGGAGACTCACATCTTTGATGTGAAGACATTGAAAAAATCCTTTAGCAAATCCCTCTTTCCGTCCATGGGGGCGGGGCACCCTTTTCACTTTCCAAAGTGGAGACATTGGGCTGTTTTTAAAAGCTCTCAGGTTCCCCTCTGCGTTGGACACGGCAGGGGGTCTGGCCCTCAGAAGAGGGACAATAACCGAGGCCGGAAGACCCACTCAGCCTGCCCAGCGCCCCCAGAAGACTCCGCGGGGGGGAAGGGGCATTGCGAGGGTCTGTTTCCAAACAAGCCTTTAGTTATTGATGATTTGTTTTGGTATGCAGCAGTAGAGAGGCGAATTTTGCCATGAAACCTTTGGGTTGCTTCCAGTTGCAACACCTAACAGGTCAGGGTATACAACACCCTCTCAGTGGGAGCTCACACCTGTAGGTGGAGATAAAGTGACTGTCTTTTAATTAGAGTCACTTTGACTTATAAGGTGAACTATAGATTCGAAACATAAAAAAAGGAATGGAAACATTTAGAAAAGAAAAAGAGGGAAAGCACTGGAACATGTAGATTATGATGCCTTTTTTATTTTAGTTTATGAATTCACCTCTTCCCATCCCTCCTACTGTTGGCCTGAGGTCGTCTATTGCAAGATTTGCTTTGCCGCTTTAAGGTTTGTTACTTCCTATGGTGCCCTTGGGTTCAAAGCCATTGTGATGTAGTCCTGCAAGAAAAGGCTGGGTAAACGTTCTGCTCATATACTTAATGGGAATGTATTTTGTGTTTAGGGACAAAGGAAGTACGACAACTCCCCAGAAGTTCCTACTCAAACATATGGCTACCCGCCAATGTGTATTAGAGGTGCCAGACGGAGATTGTGGTCATCGAAGGTGTGAGTGTCTCCAGGTTGGGCGGTTCTTACCGTTTTCTCTCCAGGGGAGAAGGTAGCACAGGCTTTGCAGACACAAGGCCAACCTGATGAACTTGACCACGCTGAGCCCCCCGCAGAGAAGTCCAGTGTAGCTACTAGCCAAACGCGGTGAAGTTTTGCCAACTGCAAAGAAGAGATCAGCATGTGCTGAACCAAATGGTGTCGAGAAGCCATCGGTAAACCTTCCTTCTGTGAGACAGAGCTCGGAAAAGTATTCCAGCACCTCCCTTGTCACAGTCAGAACTAAAAACGTTTTCTTCCAACAAGAGCTGTGTGCCTTTTGGCGCAGACACGCCAAGCGGTGAACCCATTGTGTGAGGTGGCAAAGAGGCTTAAGCAGATACATGCAGGGCTGAAGGAGAAACGAGGATCTTGGTTTAGACTAAGGGTAACCCCAAGGTTCCATTGAATACCATTCGTTCAACATTTGAAAACTGTGTCTACTCCTGCTCACGTCCTGGGAATTACCAGCCTAATACGATGAGTAATGGACGAGTTAGCAGCCGGAGAAAAACACTTTTGACCTGCCATCCGTCCGTGTGACTTTGGGTCTAAGAATCATAGCAGATTCTTGAAACTACAAACAACTAAAGCACCTTCATCATCTTCCTATATTCTCTAAAAAGATAAAATAAGAACATGCCCCTCTGCTCGGATTCTATGGGCAAAGAACCCCTTCCCACCTGAAACAAGGCTGAGGGTGCCCAGCCATCAAGAAAGAGCTGTGTGGGCCCTGACCAGTTTGGCTCAGTGGATAGAGCGTCGGCCTGCGGACTGAAAGGTCCCAGGTTCGATTCTGGTCAAGGGCATGTACCTTGGTTGCGGGCACATCCCCAGTAGGAGGTGTGCAGGAGGCAGCTGATTGATGTTTCTCTCTCATCGATGTTTCTATCCCTCTCCCTTCCTCTCTGTAGAAAATCAATAAAATATATATTTTTTTAAAAAGAAAGAAAGAAAGAAAGAGCTGTGTGGCCGGGGCAGCATGGCTCAGTGGTTGAGCATCAACCAATGAACCAGGAGATTCCCAGTCAGAGCACATGCCCGGGTTGCCGGCTTGATGCCCAGTGTAGGGTGTGCAGGAGGCAGCAGATCCATGATTCTCTCTCCTCCTTCCTCTCTGAAATAAATAATAAACATATATTTTTTTAAAAAAAGAAAATCCCTGTATGGAGCCTTGATTGGCAGGTTACTGGACCTCCCTTCCCTGTAAATCGGTGTCCTGGTATAAATCAGCCTCATGGGAATGTGATTCCTGGGATTCTGTCCTCCAAGATGGCTCCTCAGCTTGAAGCTCCTCTGTGTGTGCAAGTCCAAACTCCAGATCGAATTATCAGGAGAGATGCCACCCAGAGTCCTGCTCCCACCCTCCTGGCCGCATGGTGGCGGGCAGAAGGCAGAGAAGCAAGGAACCTCCAGATGCCTGCGACTTGTGTGGGAAACGTTATCGGCAAAGGTATTTCTTCTGTCCTTTCAAACTGTATTGGGAAAGTGTATTGGGAAAGTTCACCTGTGGGTCATCTGGTGCCCTAATCTGGTGCCCTAAGGCAGTGGTCGGCAAACTGCGGTTCTTTGGCCCCTTGAATGTGGCTCTTCCACAAAATACCACGTGTGGGCGCACGTACAGTGCGATTGAAACTTCGTGGCCCATGCGCAGAAGTCGGTTTTCGGCCTGGGCGAGTCTATTTTGAAGAAGTACTGTTGATATTTGGCTCTGTTGACTAATGAGTTTGCCGACCACTGCCCTAAGGCAATGCTAATAAATAGACTGAGAGTCACATGGTCATTTTAAGTTTTCTCGAATCCCACAGAAAAAAAAGTGAGAAGAAACAGGTAAAAACAATTGTAATGATACATCTTTAACTTAATATATACATCTAAACTATTACCGGCTCAACATGCAACCAATATCTTTAAAAAATCAGAGGTTATGGTCCTTTTTTTCCAATAATAAGTCTTCAAAGTCTTGTGTCTATTGTTGTATGGTAAATCAGCGAGTGAGATACAAGACGCCTTAATGAGCCAATTAATTAGGGGTCATTTGTTGCACGTGGCCCAGAGGGTGATGTTTCTTCCAAATCTCTGAGCAACTCATACAGGAAGTCTCCTGTACTTATACCTTTTGAGCTTCTTTGCAGGTTTTACAAAGGGCTCTGTGTGAGCTATTGTTACAGTTTGTGATCTTGGACACATAAAGAACAAACATTTGGCATAAGGACATGGGAAGTATTATCGGTACTAGTCCATTACGTTAGATGGCTAGCTTGCAAGGTCAGACAGTTAGGTTTTTATCTTTTTCTATTCAAACTAAAACAGTTATTCTACAGAATAAGAGACGGTCTAAAAATGACAGAGTTCACAGAACAAGGGGCTATCTCACAATAGCAGAGAATTTCAAACAGTTTTTATACCAGATGGAGGTTACTGTGCTTCACTATTTCACAGTCGTGACCATTTCGACTCGGATTGGACATGTTACAAGAGCTCAGTGGCCCTTGGAGGTGAACAGCTGGCACCGCTTTAGCTGAGGGGAATTTCTCTTCATATTTACTTTTCATTCAGCCCAGAGGATGTGAAAATTAGACGGACTTGTAGAAGACAGACAGGTGAGTAAGGGTTTCGTCCAGGACAGACGCAAATGCGTTCTTTCCTGTAGAAAAGATGACCCCTAAAGGTCCCGCTGCGTTGCCTAACAGGACTGGAACCAGTTCTGCCTGATTTTTCAGGCTCCCAGCATTCCTTCTCCCCGCGACTGAACACACATTCCATTCCCCTGTGTCCCGTCGGGATCTAACATTGTCTTCCTGCTCACTGCCTCCCTCGTGACACCACCACCCTGACCCACATACGAACTCGCACATCTGTATAAGAATCATGCTTGAATTTTTTGGAAATTGTGTTTTGACACTGTTTGTCATAAGGGCTCCAGAGCCAGAATCTTTGGAAACTTGTAAAAATTGGAAGATACAGCCCTTAGGTGGTTTGGCTCAATGGATAGAGCATCGGCCCTCGGATAGAAGGGTTCTGGGTTTGAGGCCAGACAAGGGCATGTACTTCAGTTGCAGGAGACAACTAATCCATGTGTCTCTCTCACATCGATGTTCCTCGTTCCCTCTCTCTCCCCGCTCCCTTCCACTCTCTCTAAAAATCAATGGGAAAATGTCCTTAGGTGAGGATGGACAGCAACAACAAAAAAAAACAAACAAAAAAACTGGAAAATACAAAACTATATAACGTTGAACAAGTTACTAAACTACTCTACGCCTCAGCTTTCTCATCTATACAGGGTCGACAATAGTACCTGTTTTAGAGGTGATTTTGAGAATGAATTAATATCTATACAGTCCTTGGAACACAACCTGGCAGACTGTAAGTACAAATTATATATATTTTACCATAGACACATTAAAATTGTTTTTAAAAATTATATATGCATTTGATTGATCACAATGTGGCACAAT